GTGCAAATGTTTACTAAGGGTACGTCGAGACGTTCTTCAATAATAATTGAAATACAACTTAAATTGAAATTCCAATATAAATAAATATATTTTATTGGGTAAATGACTTTTACTTTCTTTCCAGCGACTTTTGACATTTTCAAGGAATCATCTCCGCTCACATATATCAAATTTCTGTTTGGTGTATAACGTTTTCGTTTTTATTCAAACGAGAAAAGCTCAAAACCTGCAAAACTTCGTTCTTCATTTTGGCTTTGACTATTTGCATTTTGTTTTGCTTTGTTTATTTTTTAATCGCTGACGAATATCAAAATACCTAATTTGCATTTCTCGATTTCACATTATGGACAAATATTAGATAAAAAGCTACTTTGGCTCTTGATGATATCAAAGCTACCAAGTTCACGAGTTAAATGCAAAGAAATGAGAGGCCATTAAAAGTGAATGTGAATTAAGAATCTATTGATAGTAAGAGCTAGCAGATAAAAATGAGGTAATCGCATAGTTGAAAGCGAAATTTATTGTTATATCACGAGCTAAGTTCAAGGAGCGCCATTAAGGAACTGAAGAGCTAAGAAAATAGCTTTTAAAACTAACCACACATATATAGATCTACATATTACTTACTATTACATATATAGATCTATTACTAAAATGTGTTGTCCAACATTCGTTTTACTATTTTTCATGAGAAAACCTGTATACATACCTACATATACGATACTTTACAGCCCTGTGAGCAACTGTAAAAAGCAATCAACAGTTTGGACCCAAATAAAACCTATAAAACTAGTTCTCGCCTAGCATGCTAAACATTTGGCTAGGCCGTCGACATTTATGCGTCACACGGAATGTCAGACACAGACACAGACACCGATRCAGATACAGATACCAAATTGTTCAGATATCATTGCAGGAATGATGCTACACGGGCCGACAGTTATCTAAATGCGAAATCTTTAAGTGCAGCACACAAAAGAAATTCTCAACTTCTTAAAATTCCAGCCTCAACCTCGTTCAGAGGAAATAAAAGTGAGCATGAAGAAACAGATGGCAAACGAACAACGACCGACGAGCAGATGCTCTCACAAAGAACTTCGGCTAGCTAATCACATAATCTGTATTAAATTACCAACTTCCTACTGCATAGTCCACTTATTAGAGGGAAACACAAAACTGTGTCGCCAAGTAATTACCACATTGACAGTGAGTGTGTAAGTCAGGCAGTATTCGGCTCAAGTCGTCGCCAAACAAATTGGCCGCATACGTGTCTGCCAGCACTTGGCTAAAGTGCGCCCACAGCAATTGGTTTAGCAGCTCGTTGATGGCGAACAGAGAAATCTTGATAAAAGTAAATTTTGTGGTGAGAAAAAAAAGCACACAAAAAATTGGTGGGCAGCACGTTTAACCCCAGAGGCAGAGCAACGGGTCAAGAAACTGTGGCACGTGCACCTTCAGCTGTTGGCACTTGCCATGTGAGCAAAATGATCCCAAAATATTTGTCACCTGCACGTCTAGGCAGTAGGTGTATCACTGGCACCTTCAAAGTGGCAATATGACACCTTTTTGCAGGTATTTTGCTGGCTACCTGTCATAAATTGTTTGCCTGTGTCGCCTTAGAAACTGCGATGCTTATAAGCTGAGCCGGGCGTGCTCAATCGTGCTCTGTTCGTGTCACGCATCGACTCGCCTTCATTAAGTCAAGCCATTCGAAGCTCCAAATTTTATTCCTCTCTGCTTGCAATTATGCCAATTAGCATGCACTGGCGAAAAAACGCTAAGAAGTTTAGCACAGTTTTTAATGAAGCGGCGCAATGTCCTTGAAGTAATCGTGTTGCGTTAAGAATTTAAACTAATATGTGGTTCGCTCGAATTATTGAATTATTATTGCTGCGGAATTCGAGCCACAGATATTTCTAGCCTAATAATAATAAATAAATAAATAAAAAAATTTCGTAGCTCAAAGCTAGTTAAGCCCAAATATATGCCAGCAATTAAGACTTGGAATTTGGAATATATTTCCGTGTATAGACAGGCCCTTACATGTATATTAGATGGGTGTCTTACAGCAAAAATAATTCAAGATCATAAAATGACTTAATTAAAGCTTTTGATGAATTTGAGATGATGTCTATAAATTAGCATATATGTATAAATATTAGCCTATATATGTATAAATATAAATAATACAGTAAAATCCCGATAATTCAAAATGGCAAGGAAATTAAAATGATCGAAAACCATTGAGAATGAATTTCATTCAAGAGGATAGACTTTTTTTCGATTTCTTGCGATTTTGAATTTAGCGGAGTACAAATTATCAAGACTCGACTGTATATATATTTATTTATTTATAATTATATAGATAGGTAGATCACATACATATATGCATTCATAMACCTTTTGAACCTTCAACAATACAATTTGTTAATTTGCATAAAAATCAATATCAAACAAACAAAGAACACGCAAATAAGTCACCTTTAAACAAATGCCCAATAAATACAACATTTTTAACTAATTTAATGGGTTGAAAAAACATTTAATGCGCTTTTGTTCAATATACAAATAAATTTCGTTGGGATTTTTTTTTTCGTTTATTTATTTATTTTTGTTTTTTACAGTCAGTTTGCATTTTTGCCAGCTGACGCAAAGTATTAAAAAAAAAAAAAGGAACAGTAAAAATTGAAATAACTGAATAATTACTGCTTAGTAGCGGACAAAATATACTAAAGACCTCTAATTCTCCACTGGCGCAGATGCATACTAAATATATTCAAAAAACTAGGCGAGACTCTAAAGCAAACAAGTCGCGAAATACCCACAGATCGCCGGCTCGTTCATATTTTGTTTGCACTGTGGCTAAGGAAAATGCCGGTTATTATCGCATACACACATTAAGTAAACGCAACACCTGGAAWAACACTATTCATAAATAAATAACTAAATAGTTACAACTTGACCCGGACTTGACCAAATTAAAGACGAAGAAGAAGAAGAGCTGGCCTAACAGCCGAGGCTGCAGCAAATAAAGATTCGCAATGATTTTGTTGGTGATTTCAACCTTGGCTTTCATGCATTTCTTAGCAAATACGCCCTGAACTCATATTTCGATTGTTTATTTGCATTTCTCATCTACCGGTATTTCTTTTCGACATTTATTTCGTTTGTTTTCCTTACGATTTGTTAGCTAAGCGCTAAGTGTTAGTACGCACAGGCGGGGAGCTAAGTTTTTGGCCGTGACTCAAAACGGCAGCTGATGCTATTGATTATCGCATTACGCTCGTAATAGCATGATAATAATAATTACTTCATATGATGGGCAATCAATCGATATTTATCGATGTGATTAAAACTAATCGTAGATAGATAGTTTATACATATTTTTCATTTATTAGCTTAGTTTCTATTAGGATTTAAAATTAAATGATTATTTTTTATTTTATTTTTTTCATTTATTTTCAGTCTTTTATCTTAACTCACCATGCATAAAGCTGCACGCGCCATTTTGCAACGAACGTAATTTAAATTGACACAAGAATCGCCAGTAATTATTTTATTTATTTGCTATCTAACAAATTTTTGCAATTATCCAAATTCCAATCTTGAAATATGTAAAGAAAATTAAGAAAAAGTTTTTAATATTTTTTTTTCAAATACAATATATTGTATAATTATTTGCACAGATTTGTTGTTGGAACACGAATTGAGAATTTTGAATTTTTTGTTGTTGTCCTTGCGAATTAGTACAGTTTATTTATCAAGTTCTTGATTCAGTTGGGATCTGCGGGCTTTGCACGGAATTTTGGCGTAGATCAAACACTACTACTGTATTTACTTGGGGGGAAGGGAGCCTAACTAGAGCTCATACCGTGGTGACCGATGTGGACGAACTGAAGATGAACGCAGCGCGTCTTTGCCATATAAACAACGCAGCTGAAAATAAAATATGAAAAAAAGGCACACACACACACATCGGAAAGAAAAAGACCAAAACCCCCATTCGGAGAGCAGCGATCCACCAATACAAATGAGAGTTGGGGAGCAGCTCCAGTGACAGTTGAATTGTCAGCTTCTCTGTGTGTGACTTGTCAAAGTGCGTGCCTCAGTGTATATGTGTGTATGCGTGTGTTTGCGTGTGTGTGTTTCTCTGTGATTTGCGTAGCTCGAAACAAGTTTTGTGTCGATGAATTTTTGTTAATTTATATGGGTGAGAGCAAGAGATGAGCTTAGCTTAGTTACAGCTGAGCTTCGGTTCGTATACTCAACAAATTTGCTACTCCCTCTCTCTCTCTCGCTCTCTTTCACCGTTTATCTCTCAGGTGGAGACTGACACGGACTACCCCTACTTAAACACCACGACTTGCGTGTTTCAAGAATTCAGCTTCACTTTCAGGTTTGGATTCTTCATTAGGAATATTGAGATTTTTTTTTGTGAAGATTTATTGTTTTTCTTTTTTTCTCCTCTTTAACTTTTTTTTTTTTTTTGCGTACAAGAATTTATATTTATTTTATTTTAAAGTCTTTGTCTTTAATTGAAAATTCGAGTTTTTCCTGTTTGTTTTGACTTAATTTTTAGCATTAATCGAAAACTGATCTATTGGCCATAGATAGTAGCCACCTAAGAATGTTTTGTTGTTGTTATTGTACTTTTTTTTTGCTATGTCTCCAGCCGGTTATCAGTCTGGCTCAGCTCGGCTAGAATATTTGAATATCAAATGTGTGCAGCAGCTTAAAAATAGTTAGTTAGTTTTATTGATTAAATTAATGCTTACATAATAGCGCCGTTTTTTCTGTTTGTTTTATTTTTTCTCTTTTTGCGAATGCGATATTTGATTTCCGCGTATTAATTGTTATCGAGCTGTGCGCCATAATTAGAATAAATTACTATCCAAAGACCAGAATATTTTCTTTAGTACGCATCGTTTTTAATTTGATTAAATGAACTCAGACAGTAGCCAAGCGCTGAGATCATATATGGGAAATTGATTAGCCAAATCTTAATCCATTTGGCTTAATTGAGACACCTCAAGTGGCATCGGTTTGATGAACGACATGCTTCCGTTTGCTAAACCGCTTTAGGATTTGGAATGTCGTGAAAAGTTGCTCATCCACAGCTGACACTAAGCCAAAGCGCACACATTGCGTATACGCAATATTCTTGCTAAAAGGAAATACTTAGCTAATTTCATGCAAACTAAACGCAGTTGTTGCTCTTGAAACGTGCAATTGACACAGTTAATATCAGAAGTGGCTGTCGTAAACAGGATGAAGTTAACGACAATGCTTAAGTCAAGGCAAAGTCAACCAGCAGACTGAAATATTTATATAAAATCTTTAGCTAAATGTGTGTGAACAATAAATGAAAAGCCAAAGACGGCAACACAAATCGATGCACAGCATGTAGTCCAGCAGTTGTCAGCGATAATCTGCAAAGGCCTACAGAGACACTCATTCACTAAGTCCGAGCGGGTATACTAGCTTTTTAGCAAGCGGGCCTCTGTATGAATTTAAACTGAAGGCTGAAGATTGGGTGTATAGTTTTTTGATTAGTATATTATTATTTGAATAGTATATTATGCATCAGAATTCATTCTTAGCTTAATTGATCTGGGGGATATATATAAGAAATATCTTCCTTTATCTGTTAGCTTAAAATCTGTTGAACAAGAATTAGTTGGACAAAAATGCTAAGATTGAACTGATATCTTATATCAGCTGCTGCTGGCTAACAAACAAATTTCCCAAAAATAAAATATTAGACCTAAAAAATACTAAAATAATTACTAATTAAAATGTGAGTAATTAAACATATTTTTGTAATTTATAATTTAAATAAAGTTGTTTAAAAATAATAATT